GAAGGTTTCAACGAAAACTGTTAAGATTGATCAATTAATGTGGTTGAATCAGAAATTATTTTGTTGGTTTGTGCGACGAGGGCAAACCGCCACTTCTTTCAAATGTTTCTTGCCGTTGGTTTTCACACCTGATGATGACCGTTTGTGTTATGGTCGAAACGTCGTGAGAATTTTTATTGTTTTATATATATTGTATTATTTTATTGTTTCCCTTCAACGTGACTTTACCGAAAGAGCTAAGAATATAAACTGTGAAACTTATTTTACCAGGTAAGGCCCACTGAACTAGCTATAGAGCTGTTTTTCAGAAGCGACCTGGCCACAAATGATTGCTCGGCTAAGTGGCTTATCATGTGGACATTTATAGCAGCCAAATACTCTAAACGCGTGATGTTGATTCTAAATGTGGAGGGGAAAATCCGGAGAAAAATCCACGCGACCACAGGGAGAGACCCACGCAAACTCAAAATATACAGCAGGCCTCAAAGTCGGGATTTAACATCTGGCCACCGGGTTTGCTCGATGTTATTGTAGAAGCGCTCCCTTGGAAGGACGGAGATCTCGGCTCGCCACAGTCCCAAGCGGTCTGAGGCCTGTATCAACCGTGACCTCGGTGCTCACGGTGACGGGATGACTTCGCAGACTCCTCTGGGTGGCAGTTGTTTCTAGGCGACACTTTGCATATACACTCTCTTCCTGGTGCATTGTCATATTTGTTACATAGATCTAAGGTGGTTTAAGGCAGAAAATGACTGCGGAACTGGTTCAACTGGAGGGGTGATGGGGGGGAGGGGGTCACCATTTGAGAGACACGGGACTCTGTAGCCGCGTGCGTGACGCTCGATGACGGGTTGCAGACGACGCGAGAAGGTACACAGCCGCTGTGTACGCTGCGGTGTATTCGAGGCACCGGGGATGCGTCGATCGGCGAATTGCGCACGGAGCGTTCCCGGCAATGGAGGGCGAGTGGAAGCACAATGACCCGGTTAGAATGGCCATCAAGTTTCACGTTGTGGTTTTTATTAATTAACCAACTCAAGAGTCCAGGGTAGTGTGCCATTGGCAAGAGTGAACTGGGTCAACAACATTACAAAAGCAAGACAACTGAATCCATAATAAATTTTGATTTAAAGCTTTCGTGACTGCATGGATTCATATTCTTGGTTCTTTCGGTAAGTCACGTAGAAGAGAAACAATAAAATAATAAAAATATTAAACAATAAAATTCTCACGACGATTCGATTGCAACACAAGCAATCATCATCAGGTGTTAAAACCACACATTTTCTTGCTGTGGTTTTCACACCTGATGATGATTGCTTGTGTTGCAGTCGAAACGTCGTGAGAATTTTATTGTTTTATATTTTTATTATTTTATTGTTTCCCTTCTACGTGACTTTACCGAAAGAACCAAGAATATGAATCCATAATAGATGTTTTTGGGTGAGATATGTGTCGTTCAACCTGCCACCACCCGACACAGCAAGCTTTGTCGCGTAAACAAAACGTGCGATTCGTTGCTAGTACAGCACAAATTCGGTGCGTTGGAGAGTAAACCTACTACAACATTTACAATTCGGGTACTGTGACGTTCGGCTTGTGATTACAACCGGCATCATCAGGAGGAGACTCAGCGTTGTGGACAAATCCTCCTGGTTCTATGATGGATAATATTGGTCGCGAAAGCCTACGTGTTAAAATAGTTGAGTATAGCAGTGCGGCGAATATAAATCGGAAGGAAAAGCGAAGTGCTTCACGCGAGACGCACTGAAGACCGTGCACCGACACAATCCAGTGTTAATTAGGAATTAATTCCACGTGGTGCAACGCGAGCAACAGGCACGTGACAGAGATGCCGGGTGGCTGGTGATCAAACGTGAATGGACGAGGATAGATGACCGCGTAGCTTCGGGGAGAATCATGATAATACAGTGGATACAATAGTGACTTTTAACTCCAAGAATATATATTTTTTCATGCCATCGTTACAATTAATTCAATATAGCTTTGTGTGTCCTGACCTGTGGGCCACCATGCATATTTTTCCCCCTATCAAGGTCAGGGAGTTTTTTGACGGATGTGTTAAAGTTTGTTGTTGCTGTTTAATATACTGGAATTCCCTCATAGAGTTTTCTCGTGTTTATATGCAGCCACTTATTTGGTGAGATGAATCTTGGGCCACGTGTCCCAGCCCCCGAATCGGAACGTCAGAGGGTCGTCAACAAAAGCGTCTCGCCAGATAACGCCAACTCGAGCGCTGACGATGTACAACAAAGACAAAGGTCCCCCGTGTAGCCTTAACAGACTGCAGGAGCAAGTGCCGTTAACGAGCACTCGTGAGAGCCTGGCGCGGTGTGTAAACATCGCCAGTGGAGAGACACCGCGCTACGAACCCGGCGACCCCCGCTCACGGCCAATCACCGGTGACGATTATCTGAATCGGTCCCGGGGCTCCCCTTCGTCGACTCAGCCCCAAATGTGTACCTGGTGCGGCATCTAAGCATCGCCACTGGGGAGACAAAGGCGGCCGAGCGTGGTGATGGCCACCCACCCCGGCCTTCATAGGTGCTCGCTAGCAGCACTTGCCCCAACAGTCTGTGAATGCTATAGGGGGGACCTTTGTCTTTGCATTGAGGGGTGCTTTCAGTGACAGGCAATGATAACGACGTCTCTCTCTCTGTCTCTCCCGGCTGTACACGCGGCCCGTTTCATTCCTTTGCTGCGTCGCCAGCGTGCGAATCGGAGGCTCGTGCAGGAGAGAGATAGGGGTGGGGGTCACGCACGCAACCAGTGGAACGCGTAGCGTGCGTTACCCCGATGTGGGGAATTCCCCGCACTCGGAGAAAACAGATTTCTCGCAGATAAAAATAAAATCACGCACTTCCTTCTCCTCCTCCGACCCCCCTACCCCCCGTCACCGCAACCACCTAGAACCCTGAGCTTGCATTCACTCGCCGCTACGTCAGCGAGCACCGCACGCATGCGGGAGAGATGCAAGGGTATTGATTGAAATTGTAAACATGTGGGAGCCCGTTCGTGCCTTTCCCGTCGCTCGGTGCGCTATGCACCGTGAGATTCAGTAGCACGGTCGGCTACGTACGGTGCGAAAGAAGTTCACCGTACATGTGTGCACTGTATACAGGGTGCTTAAAAAAAATGCTAACGCTTCTGAGAATTTGCAACGAGACCACGAGAAATCTGCTGCCTCTGGACCTTGGAGACCACCTGGGGAAGATTCCAGGCACGCGTTGACAACGATGGCGATCGAGTGGAGACTCTTTGACTTTTTGAAGAAATCCACATACATTTGTTATCGTGTCGTCATCTCCCATTCAAAACGAAAGTCCCATATAAGTGAAGCACCCTGTGTATATATGGGATGGCAGTGCACAGGGCCGTCTATGGGGGGGGCGAGTTTCGGAGCAACTCAGGCTTCCTGGGTCCCCAGACGCCTTCAAACCAACCCGGAAGTGTTACATCTGACACTGTGACCTCGAAGCGCGCCCCCCCCCAAGTAAGGGGCCCGGGGCAGTCGCCCCCCGATTTTCAGTACCCTCGGTACGGCTCTGGCAGGACACGGCGGACAATGGAAACACCACCACAGCTGACAGGACACTGCGGACAATGGAAACACCGCCACTGCTGCCACAGCTGGCAGGACACGGCGGACAATGGAAACATTACCACAGCTGCCACTGCTGGCAGGACACGGCGGACAATGGAAACACCACCACTGCTGGCAGGACACGGGGGACAATGGAAACACCACCACTGCTGCCACTGCTGCCACTGCTGCCACTGCTGTGGTCCCATCGGCAGGTCGCCTGCGGGGCGCGACAGTCACGGGTGCTCCCCGCCTCTTTGAGGGCCAGCATGGAGGAGTAGGCCAAGTTACCCTCTCCGGAGGGGCTTGCCTCGAGCTCCCTCTAGTGGAGGCCCTTCCGCCAGCAGTGGCGTGAGCGGGGAATTTCAGCGCTGCGCCTTTACCCATTCGGTGTTGAGGAGTGGTTCTTAACGTGGGGTGTGAAATGGCCTTTGTGGGGTTACGAGACGTGGCCAGATTTTTTTCGAAGGTAAATCGTCGAAAACGCAAATTAAGTACGGGCACATCAAACTCCTGTGTAGTTACTAACATTATACATTTGTCAATGGTTGAGAACCAAAGGGGTGCAAGGCTGCAGTAAAGGTTTAAGAACCGCTGCCGTAGAGCGAACCCTCGAGGCCAGAGCGTGCCGAAAGTCCGTGCCACATACCTCATTTAAACCACCGTCACCACGACCTGGGGCAGCAGCGCTGGAATGGCACTCATTTCTGGTGCGCCTATCAAATAAATAATGTTAAAGGATAATAGGCGACGTTTCAGGCGATGGTCCTTCTGCAGCACATGAAGAAGGGCCATTGCCCAAAACGTTGTCTGTTGTGTATCGTTTTTACTTGAAGGCCAGGCAGTGTTATTATTGACCAGCGTTTTGTTGAGTTTTTTAGTATTAGCCAGGCCTGACTCTGACCGACACACAAACACTTTTGTTCTTTTGGTAAAGTCACGTAGATAAAAAAATAAAATAAAATTTAAAATAAAAGCAAAAAACCACGACGTTTCGATCGCAACACAAGTGGTCTTCATCAGGCTGACGCTGCCTGATGAAGACCGCTTATTTTATTGATGTTTTCTATCTACGTGACTTTAGCGAAAGAACCAAAGACTATGCATTCCTGCAGTCACGAACGTTTTAAGTAAAAATTTGACCCCCAAACCCACTGACCGACATTTTGTAACCGGTCCTGGGCCTCAGCCAGGTCAACTCAGCCTTTTATGAGCACCTGGTACGGTGTGTAAACATCAGCACTGGGGAAACAAAGACGGCCTGGCACGGTGTTGCTGACACCACCCCCATCGTGTGCCGTGCCGGCCTTCATAGGGTGCTCGCTCACAACGCTTCCCCTCGGCTATACGGAGAGGAGGGGGGATTGTCGTCTTTGTGTGTCTGTGTTCTTCGCAGGTGGCTGGGTATTCAGATCGGGCAACTGTCCGAGCTGGAGACGCGGGGACCTGGGGTGCGGGACTTGGAGGATCTGAGGGCCCAGATTGAAAGCCTTCACGCTGTGATACGAGACCAACAAAAGCAGGTCCATCCCAACGTCTATCTCCCTTTTCCCCTCATCGTCGGAATCAACATAATCGTCATCATCATCGTATACGGCACAGTTTGGTCAAACGTTGGTCCGTCGGTTCTGAGCACATGGCCTAAATGTCGCGCGGTTACCGGCCGTGCGGCGAGTGAGATTCCTGTGGTTGGGATACAGCCCGTGGCTGGCCTAAAAAACTAGACCAAGTTTTTACCAGGTAAGGCCCCACTGAGCTTGTGCAGCTCTTTTCCATGAGCGACCCGACTCTCACAAATGACAAACTCAACGATGTGGCTCATCGTCGTGTGGGCATTTATAGCGGCAGCGAAAAACTCTGAATGCGTGGCGATTCATCGAAATGTGGAGGGAAAAACCGGAGGACCCGGAGAACAATCCTCATAAGCTTTGAGTATAAATGTTAGCGGATTTAAAATTTGCGAAATTGTTCAGGAACGTATATCCCCCCCCCCCCCCCGCAAATATGAAGAGTTTGCTCTACTCCCAGCAGTTATTGTGCCACCATGTATGTATCTGGGGAAGCTGCATGCTTAGAATTACACCAACAGAAAGAGGAATATGTGGATTAGAGAATGGTTGCCAGTTAGAAACATCGTATTGTTTGTATCTTAAGCTTCTTCCGCACCGTACATAGTAAACGGTGATAATTGTAGGTGCGATCCGTCACAATTTATAATAAAGGTTTTTTTGGGTTAAATCGTGTTAGTGTATCCAGCACACCGGTGTGTTGCATAGTAAACCCACGGCATTTACAGCTTGAATATGACGTTTGGCTGGTGTTACAACCAGGATCCTCGGACTTAAAACAGAATAAAGGTGATGTCAGAGGGGCGGTTATTGTCATGTAAATTACAATGGATTATCACGTAGGCTTTCGTGACAGCACACTAGTAACTAGTGCAGCTCACTAGTAACTAATTTGCAAGTTCCGTTTACGTGACAAACCTTACTAATTGGCTGTGTTGGGTGGTGGCGGGTTTAACGACACGTTTCTATTTACGTGATCTAACCCAAAAAACCTCTTATGGATGATATTGGTCGCCCTACTACTGCTTACTCTGTGTGTTAACATCATGATTTACACCTCTCTCTCTGCAGGTGACAGCTTTAGAAAGCGTCGGAGATTCCATCGTTGCCGGCGATGCGGATACTGGGAGACGAGGTGGCCCAGGGATTCCGGAGGAGGGTGATGATCAAGAAAGAAAGGGGGTCAAGGGAGAGGAGGAGGAGGAGGGACAGCACCCGGCGACTGCGAGGAACGGACAGCGACCGGGAACGGCGAGCGACCTGGGACAGGAGGCGTGGCGAGTGGCGCGAGAACTCCACAAGCAACTCACGGCGATCAAAACCGACATGCGACGCATCACAGGTAGAGAGGGAGAGAGAAATCCAGAGGAGTGGGCCAGAGCAACCAGATGCGGGGAGATGTTAACTACCTCAATTGGTCAACAGGAAGTCGTGGGTTCGATTCAGACCCTGATGCCTGTATATTTGGAGTTTGCGTGTCTCTCTCTGCCCGTGGTTCTGTGGATTTTTGCCCGGGTCCTCCGGTTTTTCCCTCAACATTTAGAATCAACATCACGCGGTTAGAGTATTTGGCTGCTCTAAATTTCCACGTGATGATGATGAAAAAAAAAGGTCTATCCGGCACACTGCCTCGCTAACCCCGCCACACATCGCTTGTTAACCTCGTTACACGCTTTCTCGCTAACCCCAACACACATGGCTTGTCAAAATCGTTACACGCTTGCTCGCTAACCCTGCCACACATGGCTTGTTAACCTCGTTACACACTTTCTCGCTAACCCTGCCACACAGTTTGTCAACCTTGTTACACGCTTTCTCGCTAACCCCGCCACACAGTTTGTTAACCTCGTTACACGCTTTCTCGCTAACCCCGCCACACAGTTTGTTAACCTCGTTACACGCTTTCTCGCTAACCCCGCCACACAGCTTGTTAACCTCGTTACACGCTTTCTCGCTAACCCTGCCACACAGTTTGTCAACCTCATTACACGCTTTCTCGCTAACCGCGCCACACAGCTTGTTAACCTCGTTACACGCTTTCTCGCTAACCCCGCTACACAGTTTGTCAACCTCGTTACACGCTTTCTCGCTAACCCCGCCACACAGTTTGTTAACCTCGTTACACGCTTTCTCGCTAACCCTGCCACACAGTTTGTTAACCTCGTTACACGCTTTCTCGCTAACCCCGCCACACAGTTTGTTAACCTCGTTACACGCTTTCTCGCTAACCCTGCCACACAGTTTGTCAACCTTGTTACACGCTTTCTCGCTAACCCCGCTACACAGCTTATTAACCTCGTTACACGCTTTCTCGCTAACCCTGCCACACATGGCTTGTCAACCTCGTTACACGCTTTCTCGCTAACCCCGCTACACAGTTTGTTAACCTCGTTACACGCTTTCTCGCTAACCCTGCCACACATGGCTTGTCAACCTCGTTACACGCTTTCTCGCTAACCCCGCCACACAGTTTGTTAACCTCGTTACACGCTTTCTCGCTAACCCCGCCACACAGCTTGTTAACCTCGTTACACGCTTTCTCGCTAACCGCGCCACACAGTTTGTTAACCTCGTTACACGCTTTCTCGCTAACCCCGCCACACAGTTTGTTAACCTCGTTACACGCTTTCTCGCTAACCCCGCTACACAGTTTGTTAACCTCGTTACACGCTTTCTCGCTAACCCCGCCACACAGCTTGTTAACCTCGTTACACGCTTTCTCGCTAACCGCGCCACACAGTTTGTTAACCTCGTTACACGCTTTCTCGCTAACCCCGCTACACAGTTTGTCAACCTCGTTACACGCTTTCTCGCTAACCCCGCCACACAGTTTGTTAACCTCGTTACACGCTTTCTCGCTAACCCTGCCACACAGCTTGTTAACCTCGTTACACGCTTTCTCGCTAACCCCGCCACACAGTTTGTTAACCTCGTTACACGCTTTCTCGCTAACCCTGCCACACAGCTTGTTAACCTCGTTACACGCTTTCTCGCTAACCCCGCCACACAGTTTGTTAACCTCGTTACACGCTTTCTCGCTAACCCTGCCACACAGCTTGTTAACCTCGTTACACGCTTTCTCGCTAACCGCGCCACACAGTTTGTCAACCTCGTTACACGCTTTCTCGCTAACCCCGCCACACAGTTTGTCAACCTCGTTACACGCTTTCTCGCTAACCCTGCCACACAGTTTGTTAACCTCGTTACACGCTTTCTCGCTAACCCCGCCACACAGTTTGTTAACCTCGTTACACGCTTTCTCGCTAACCCTGCCACACAGCTTGTTAACCTCGTTACACGCTTTCTCGCTAACCCCGCCACACAGTTTGTTAACCTCGTTACACGCTTTCTCGCTAACCCTGCCACACAGCTTGTTAACCTCGTTACACGCTTTCTCGCTAACCCCGCCACACAGTTTGTTAACCTCGTTACACGCTTTCTCGCTAACCCTGCCACACAGCTTGTTAACCTCGTTACACGCTTTCTCGCTAACCGCGCCACACAGTTTGTCAACCTCGTTACACGCTTTCTCGCTAACCCTGCCACACAGTTTGTTAACCTCGTTACACGCTTTCTCGCTAACCCCGCCACACAGTTTGTTAACCTCGTTACACGCTTTCTCGCTAACCCTGCCACACAGCTTGTTAACCTCGTTACACGCTTTCTCGCTAACCCCGCCACACAGTTTGTTAACCTCGTTACACGCTTTCTCGCTAACCCTGCCACACAGCTTGTTAACCTCGTTACACGCTTTCTCGCTAACCCCGCCACACAGTTTGTTAACCTCGTTACACGCTTTCTCGCTAACCCTGCCACACAGCTTGTTAACCTCGTTACACGCTTTCTCGCTAACCGCGCCACACAGTTTGTCAACCTCGTTACACGCTTTCTCGCTAACCCCGCTACACAGTTTGTCAACCTCGTTACACGCTTTCTCGCTAACCCTGCCACACAGTTTGTTAACCTCGTTACACGCTTTCTCGCTAACCCCGCCACACAGCTTGTCAACCTCGTTACACGCTTTCTCGCTAACCGCGCCACCCAGCTTGTTAACCTCGTTACACGCTATCTCGCTAACCGCGCCCGCCGCAGGCCTGCAGGAGGAGGTGAGCGGCCTGCGCCAGGGCCTCTCCTCGCTCGTCGAGCGTGCCGACGAGCTCGACGCCGAGACGGCGCGCCGCCTCGGCGCCGCCATCGCCGCCAACGTCGAGTCCCTGGCGGAGCTCCGCCTGGCGGGCGAGCGGGCGGAGCGGCGCTCCGACTCGCTGGCCGCCGAGGTGCTGGAGCTGCGGGCCTCGCAGGGCGAGGCCGCCGAGCGGCTGGGCGTGCTGGCGGCCGGGCGCGCCGCGCTGCTGCGGGCCGCCGCCGGGGCGTCGGGCGCGGCCCTCCGGCTGGAGGCGCTGCGGGCGGACGCGGCCGCCGCCGAGAGGTTCGCCGACGAGTTGGCGGGGCGCGTGGGAGTGCTGGCGGGGCACGTGGGAGTGCTGGAGGGGCACGTGGGAGTGCTGGAGGGCCACGCCACGCGGGCCGACGACTTGGCGGGGGAGGTCACACGCAGGGTCGGGGGTGGGGGTCGGAGAGGGGATGCGGTTGGGAGTGAAGGAGGGAATGAGGTGGGGAATGAGGGAGGGAATGAAGGAGGGAATGAGGTGGGGAATGAGGGACGGGATGAAGGAGGGAATGAGGGAGGGAATGAGGTTGGGAATGAGGGAGGGAATGAGATGGGGAATGAGGGAGGGAATGAAGTGGGGAATGAGGGAGGGAATGAGGGAAGGAATGAGGTGGGGAATGAGGGAGGGAATGAGGTGGGGAATGAGGGAGGGAATGAGGTTGGGAATGAGGGAGGGAATGAGGTGGGGAATGAGGGAGGGAATGAGGTGGGGAATGAGGGAGGGAATGAGGTGGGGAATGAGGGAGGGAATGAGGGAGGGAGTGAAGGAGGGAATGAGGGAGGGAGTGAAGGAGGGAATGAGAGAGGGAGTGAAGGAGGGAATGAGGGAGGGAATGAGGGAGGGAGTGAAGAAGGGAATGAGGTTGGGAATGAGGGAGGGGATGAAGGAGGGAATGAGGGAGGGAGTGAGGTGGGGAATGAGGGAGGGAGTGAAGGAGGAAATGAGGTTGGGAATGAGGGAGGGGATGAAGGAGGGAATGAGGGAGGGAGTGAGGTGGGGAATGAGGGAGGGAGTGAAGGAGGGAATGAGGTTGGGAATGAGATGGGGAATGAGGGAGGGAATGAGGTGGGGAATGAGGGAGGGAATGAGGGAAGGAATGAGGTGGGGAATGAGGGAGGGGATGAAGGAGGGAATGAGATGGGGAATGAGGGAGGGAATGAGGTGGGGAATGAGGGAGGGAATGAGGGAGGGAATGAGATGGGGAATGAGGGAGGGAATGAGGTGGGGAATGAGGGAGGGAATGAGGTTGGGAATGAGGGAGGGAATGAGGTGGGGAATGAGGGAGGGAATGAGGTGGGGAATGAGGGAGGGAATGAGGTGGGGAATGAGGGAGGGAATGAGGTTGGGAATGAGGGAGGGAATGAGGTGGGGAATGAGGGAGGGAATGAGGTGGGGAATGAGGGAGGGAATGAGGTGGGGAATGAGGGAGGGAATGAGGGAGGGAGTGAAGGAGGGAATGAGGGAGGGAGTGAAGGAGGGAATGAGAGAGGGAGTGAAGGAGGGAATGAGGGAGGGAATGAGGGAGGGAGTGAAGAAGGGAATGAGGTTGGGAATGAGGGAGGGGATGAAGGAGGGAATGAGGGAGGGAGTGAGGTGGGGAATGAGGGAGGGAGTGAAGGAGGGAATGAGGTTGGGAATGAGATGGGGAATGAGGGAGGGAATGAGGTGGGGAATGAGGGAGGGAATGAGGTGGGGAATGAGGGAGGGGATGAAGGAGGGAATGAGATGGGGAATGAGGGAGGGAATGAGGTGGGGAATGAGGGAGGGAATGAGGGAGGGAATGAGATGGGGAATGAGGGAGGGAATGAGGTGGGGAATGAGGGAGGGAATGAGGTTGGGAATGAGGGAGGGAATGAGGTGGGGAATGAGGGAGGGAATGAGGTGGGGAATGAGGGAGGGAATGAGGTGGGGAATGAGGGAGGGAATGAGGTTGGGAATGAGGGAGGGAATGAGGGAGGGAGTGAAGGAGGGAATGAGGGCGGGAATGAGGGAGGGGATGAGGTTGGGAATGAGGGAGGGGATGAGGGAGGGGATGAGGTTTGGAATGAGGGAGGGGATGAGGTTTGGAATGAGGGAGGGAATGAGGGAGGGGATGAGGTTTGGAATGAGGTTTGGAATGAGGTTTGGAATGAGGGAGGGAATGAGGGAGGGAATGAGGGAGGGGATGAGGGAGGGGATGCGGGATGGGATGAGGGAGGGGATGCGGGAGGGAATGAGGTTGAGAATGAGGGAGGGAATGAGGGAGGGAATGAGGGAGGGGATGAGGTTTGGAATGAGGGAGTGAATGAGGGAGGGGATGAGGTTGGGAATGAGGGAGGGAATGAGGGAGGGAATGAGGGAGGGAATGAGGGAGGGGATGCGGGAGGGGATGAGGATGAGGGCGTAGATGAGAAGGAAACCGCCATTGGTGATGAGGATGGTGATGATGAGGATGAGGATGATGAGGATGGTGATGTGATCGAACGCGAGGAAGGGGGCCGGGGTGGTTGATGGGAACGGCGGCGATGATGATGATGATGACGACGACGACGACGGTGTGGACGCGGCCATTGTCCACTCCTGACACCTTCCGCCTCTTACGGGGCTGCCCACCTAACTCCTCGACGGGGCGGGGGGGGGATTGTGACCTCTCCGTGAGTTCTCCGTAACCTCTCCGTGACCTCTCTGTGACCTCTCCCTGACCTCTCCGTGACCTCTCCGTATGTGTGTGTGACATTCGTTGCTGAACAGGCTTGCTACTGCCTCCGCCGCTCCATTGCGCTCTTTCGTCGCATAAACTCTGTTTCTACCGGGGGGGGCGTGGGGCGGGCAATGTGAAGTGTTGGTGTCGGGACTGGGCGTTTCGCGTTTTTAGTTTTTGTTACGACATATATATAATGTTTTTTTTTAATATACAGACACAATCCCCGTTGTTCTGTACCTTTTAAAAGTAGCGTTGGAAAAAAAATAAGCATTTGAATGTAATGCGTAATGTATGCAATGCACCTTTCTGTGTACTGTGCAGTAGCAGCAGGGGGGTGCCTTGGCCCCAACTCGTAGCTTTGACCACCACGGGGGCCAAGGGGGGCCAAGGGGGGCCGAGGGGGCCAAGGGGGGCCAAAGCTACGAGTTGGGACCTCCCTTGACAATCGCCATGACATCTGTGTTCAACAAGAGTGGAAAAGAACAACAAAGACTTATTTAAAATGCGGTTTACATTTATTTTTAATGAAAACGCTTGAATTTACGTTGCACGTTTTTTAAAATTTTATTTTAATTAGAGCGGTATCGTAATATATTGCAAAGAGGCAACTAACTACGGAGCTGTAGTGTCTGTGAATGACTAATAAAGAGCGCCCCTACAGCGTTAAATGTTCGAGACCGTGGGAGTAGCGACGATGTGGATCAGGGCCAGAGAAGCCGCGACCTCTACCAGCCTCTAAGGTGCCACCGTGAAGAGAAAACTTAACGACTGAAGCCCCAACTGGCCGATTGCCTCATCCCCTGAGCTGATAATGTAGTCACTACGTCACTGATGATGTAGTTACTACGTCACTGATGATGTAGTTGCTACGTCACTGATAATGTAGTTACTACGTCACTGGTAATGTAGTTACTACACCGCTGGTAATGTAGTTATTACACCACTGATAATGTAGTCACTACACCACTGATTATGTAGTTACTTACATCACTGATGATGTAGTTACTACGTCACTGATGATGTAGTCACTACGTCACTGATGATGTAGTTACTACGTCACTGATAATGTAGTTACTACACCACTGATAATGTAGTTACTACACCGCTGGTAATGTAGTTATTACACCACTGATAATGTAGTCACTACACCGCTGGTAATGTAGTTATTACACCACTGATAATGTAGTCACTACACCACTGATAATGTAGTCACTACACCACTGATAATGTAGTTACTACGTCACTGATAATGTAGTTACTACGTCACTGATTATGTAGTTACTACACCACTGATAATTGGTTACTACACCACTGATAATGTAGTTACTACACCACTGATAATGTAGTTACTACACTACTGATAATGTAGTTACTACACCGCTGGTAATGTAGTTATTACACCACTGATAATGTAGTCACTACACCACTGATTATGTAGTTACTTACGTCACTGATGATGTAGTTACTACGTCACTGATTATGTAGTTACTACACCACTGATAATTAGTTACTACACCACTGATAATGTAGTTACTACACCACTGATAATGTAGTTACTACGTCACTGATAATGTAGTTACTACACTACTGATAATGTAGTTACTACACCACTGATAATGTAGTTACTACGTCACTGATAATGTAGTCACTACGTCACTGATAATGTAGTTTACTATACCACTGGTAATGTAGTTACTACACCACTGGTAATGTAGTTACTACACCACTGATAAGGTAGTTACTACACCACTGATAGTGTAGTTACTACACCACTGATAAGGTAGTTACTACACCACTGATAATGTAGTTACTACACCACTGATAATATAGTTACTACACCACTGATAATGTAGTCACTACGTCACTGATAATGTAGTTACTACACCGCTGATAATGTAGTCACTACGCCACTGATAATGTAGTTACTACGTCACTGATAATGTAGTTACTAGACCACTGATGACGTAGTTACTACACCACTGATAATGTAGTTACTACACCACTGATAATGTAGTTATTACACCACTGATGACGTAGTTACTACACCACTGATGACGTAGTTACTACACCACTGATAATGTAGTTACTACACCACTGATGACGTAGTTACTACACCACTGATGACGTAGTTACTACACCACTGATAATGTAGTTACTACACCACTGATGACGTAGTTACTACACCACTGATAATGTAGTTACTACGTCACTGATAATGTAGTTACTACGTCACTGATAATGTAGTTACTACACCACTGGTAATGTAGTTACTACACCACTGATGACGTAGTTACTACACCACTGGTAATGTAGTTACTACACCACTGATAATGTAGTTACTACACCACTGATGACGTAGTTACTACACCACTGATGACATAGTTACTACACCACTGATGACGTAGTTACTACACCACTGATGACATAGTTACTACACCACTGATGACATAGTTACTACACCACTGATGACGTAGTTACTACACCACTGATGACGTAGTTACTACACCACTGATGACGTAGTTACTACACCACTGATGACGTAGTTACTACGTCACTGTCGCACAAGAGCGGTTGCTTACCCATACTTCATATCTCTTTCAAAATCAGCTGAAGCCTCCCTCCCCCTTTCCCCGCCCACTGTGAAAACGGACGCCACTCCATGCAGCTCGCTCCTTCCTTGCTTCTCTTCCCTCCTCTCTCACCACCACCACCCCGACGTCTTGGCCCAGTCGCTCTTTGTTGATCGAATTGGTCAGCTTTTTCCATTGCTTTCACATCCTCTTATATTGGCACCGTCATTTCTTCTCCTCCGCCTCTCTCTCCCTTCCCCCCCCCCTCCCCCCCGTGCCCCTACCGGACAACTCTGAAAGAGCTTCATTGCTCATCAGATTTTTCCTGCAGCCTACATAAAGATTCCGCTTCTTCCCCGCTGCTCATCTTGAGCCGTGCCCTCGTTCGGCCGTCTTGGGGGTGTCCGTTCCGTCACCCCCTTTCCTACCTTGTTCCTTTTTACGCCAAATTCGTTGTGCCCTGGACTCTACACGGCTACCACAACGTTTGATGACGGACGCAGTCATCCCGCGTCGATTATCAATCGGCCTTTGAGGGGAGGCGAGCCACGCACAGTGGGCAACTGGGCCACGAATCGCGCACTCACTCACTGCCCCACTCACTCCTCCACCACTCACTTCTCCACCACTCACTCCTCCACTCACTCACTGCACCACTCCTCCACTCACTCACTGCACCACTCACTCACTGCACCACTCACTCCTCCACCACTCACTCCACCACTCACTCACTCCACCACTCGCTCACTCCACCACTCACTCCACCACTCACTCCACTCACTCACTGCACCACTCACTGCACCACTCACTCCTCCACTCACTCACTGCACCACTCACTCACTCCACCACTCACTCCACCACTCACTCACTCCACCACTCGCTCACTCCACCACTCACTCCACCACTCACTCCACTCACTCACTGCACCACTCACTGCACCACTCACTCCTCCACCACTCACTCACTGCACCACTCACTCCTGCGCCTGATAAAGCCACACTCCCAAGTGGTGCTCCACTTTCACAGCAGTCGTCTCGCGCGCTTTTTAACCGAATAAAAAGAGACTCGATGGACGCTGCTTGAAAACCACATGTGTCTGTGTGTATTTCTCGTCAATAAACAGCTTGGGAAAAGCATAAAGGGCTCCAGAGGGTTAACTGGAGCGGGCCGTCGTGTGCCCCCCCCCCCCCCCCCACCGGAGGCAAATGGAACATTCCGTGGGGTCTGGAGGGCATTGGGAGGGGCCATCATCGTTGGGGGGGGGGGGGCACAACACGGGGGGGGGGGTACCAGGCGTCGCTTCTCCGTGCCACGGCATCAGAGGACGCAGTTGGACATTCGCCACTCAGGAACTTGACGACGATCGGCTCAACTTTGTGACGAAACTCGCGCCACGCTCTACACTCGCCACTATCTCGTCAATCTCACCACTCACCACTCTCACCACTATCTCACCACTCTCTCACTCACCACTCTCACTACTCTCTCGTCACTCTCACCACTCTCTCACCACGCTCTCAAACTCTCACCACTCTCACCACTCTCTCACTCACCACTCTCTCACTCACCACTCTCTCGTCACTCTCACCACTCACCACGCTCTCAAACTCTCACCACTCTCTCACTCACCACTCTCTCGTCACTCTCGCCACACTCTCACTCACCACGCTCTCAAACAAACTCTCACCACTCTCTCACTCACCACTCTCACCACTCTCTCACCACTCTCTCACCACTCTCTTGTCACTCTCACCACTCTCTCACCACGCTCTCAAACTCTCACTCACCACTCTCACCACTCTCTCAAACTCTCACAACTCTCTCACCACTCTGTCACTCTCGCCACACTCTCACTCACCACGCTCTCAAACAAACTCTCACCACTCTCACCACTCTCTCGTCAATCTCACCACACTCACCACTCTCTCACTCACCACTCTCACCACTCTCTCACTCACCACTCTCTCGTCACTCTCACCACTCTCTCACTCACCACTCTCTCGTCACTCTCACCACTCTCTCACCACGCTCTCAAACTCTCACCACTCTCTTACCACGCTCTCAAACTCTCACCACTCTCACCACTCTCTCACTCACCACTCTCTCACCACGCTCTCAAACTCTCACCACTCTCACCACTCTCTCGTCACTCACCACTCTCTCACTCACCACGCTCTCAAACTCTCACCACTCTCTCACTCTCACCACTCTCTCACTCACCACTCTCTGAAACTCTCACCACTCTCTCACTCACCACTCTCTCACTCTCTCACCACTCTCACCACTCTCTCACTCACCACTCTCTCAAACTCCCACCACTCTCACCATTCTCTCGTCACTCACCACTCTCTCACCACGCTCTCAAACTCTCCACTCTCTCACTCTCTCGTCACTCACCACTCTCTCGTCACTCACCACTCTGTCACTCTCACCACTCTCTCACCACGCTCTCACGCTCACCCTCCAGGACAAGTCGGAGTTGTGTATGCGAGGGGTGGAAGGAAGCCACGAGCGATGTTACTGTCGCAGAACAATTACCATCACCGAAGACCTCGAACGGATTTGAACGCAATCGTCATCAATTTTCTTTGTCAACATCCCGCATAAAGGGGTCACGGAGGCGAATTTAACCTCCCCACCCCCCTCTGAAAGTCGAAATGTAACTCTTGCGCGTGATGGCGACATGGCCCGGAGTTGGTTGCCAATGCACTCACTGCAAACGATTTGGGAGAGTGACCACGTTGGCTAGGAGATGTTGACTACCTCGCCTGATATACAGGAGGTCGTGGGTTCGAGCCCGACCCTGACGCCTGCTGTATGTTTGGCGATTGCGTCTATCATCACGGTGGCTAGGGATGTTGACTACCTCGCCCGGTATGCGGGAGGTCGTGGGTTCGATCCTGACGACGCCTGCTGCTGCTACTGCTACTGCTGTATATTTAGAGGTTGCGTGTCTCTCTCTCCCCGTGGTCGCGTGGATTTTTCTCCGGATCCTCCGGTTTTTCTTCATCCATATTTAGAATGAACGTGTTTTATAGCGTTTGGCTGCCGTTATAAATGTCAATGTGATAAGACACTTGGTTGAGCTATCATTTGTGATAGGTCGCTTTTGAAAAAGAGGGATATAGCTAAGTGGGCTTTAGTAAGATACAACAGTTTGTTAAGTTTTAAATAGTTCAAATCGTAGAATGGCAGTTTAACACGTAGGCTTTCGCGACCAATATTATTCACAATAAAGGTTTTTGGGTGAGGTCGTGTAAGTGTAAATGTGTCGTCACCCTCCACCACCCGACACGGCCAGTCAGGTTCGTCACGTGAACATCGTCCTAGCTGGTTCCTACTTCAGCACCTCCGGTGTGTTGGAGAGTAAATCCACAACATTTACAATTCCAGTACCCCGTGACGTTTCGCTGGTAACTACATCAGCCAGCGGCATCGGGCGATTTGCCAGAATCGTGAAGCAATCCACCTGCTTCTGGTCTTAACTAGAGCAGCAGTAGCAGCAGCAGGACGACGTCGTCACTGAACCCACCAGGGTGCAGAGGTCAGAGGCGGAGGAAGGGGGGGGGGGGCATTGTAATAATGTAATAGATTGGTAATCAGTTAAATAGCGAGTGTTTCCTCGACATCTTACAAATGCATTCTTATAGAGGTGCTTGCCGCAAATGAACCACAGCACCTTACTGGTCTCGTCAAGGGGCCCAGACCATCACCCCGACTGCCATCATGCTCACAGCAGCGGCGGCGGCGGCGGCTTTTGACGAACCGCTCCTGCGGCCGTCTGGAACGCTCCTCCGACATTACGAAGCCACTGGATCTGTGCACGTTAAAACCATCATCATCATCATCTCGGTTAAACACTAATTTCTTAACAACTGCTCTTTTGTGTTTCGTTTCTTCTCCCTCCTCCGCAACCTCCGATGAGCTCGGCTGGCTACGTAGGTTGCGAAAGAAGTTCAACACGCACGCAATTTTTGAGCGGTCACAATGCGGACCGCACGGTGATCACTGCCGGTGTTCATCGTCGATTCCAACTCTGCGGGGATATTTTCCCTTCACGCTCTGGAATCGCACTCGCATTTGTAAGTCCGTAATAATGACCATTGACCCTTTTGTTACGTCCTCCGCTCAGGTGCCTGGCGGGGCCACCCAGGCCAGGATTAGAGCTGAAGTAACCCAGCCCCGATCTCCCTGGGCCCACACCCACCACACCTGTGCTATCGAATGAAGGAAATTCATTCACCCGATCTCAACTGCCACTTGGAGGAAGTCGGTGCGTGCGTGCCCAGCAGTTGACTGAACCCACGTGGCACTGGGCAAACAGCGCAGCGCTGCCCCCCTCGCCAGCCGCCGCGAGTGCGTGGGCAGCTGCCGACCCGCGTGCCGCGCTTTGACACGCCTCTAACGCCACGGTCATAGATACGGCGAAACAAAACTGCGGCGGTAGGGACAGAACGTACACAAGCAAATCGTGATTTGCATGAGGACCCCAGCGGTAAGCGAGCGCTGTGCTTCCTTACAGACGCTTTGGGGACGGATATTTGAACAGGCCACGATATGTCTGTGATGGCCCAAGGGCCTACCCGGTAGGCATACAAACGTTGAGATTTCGGTTGGTTGAAGTTGACCGAATGTTTTTAACCAACGTGGGCCCAACGTCTTTAACCAACGTGGGCCCAACGTTTTTAACCAACGTGGGCCCAACGTCTTTAACCAACGTGGGCCCAACGTCTTTAACCAACATTGGCCCAAAGTTTTTAACCAACGTTGGCCCAACGTTTGCACATTTACCGGGTACTGGCTATCGGACGCCGTAGTGGTGCTGCCGCTCAGCTACTGAGTTGAGCGGTGATCTTTGGGAGGGAAGGGTCCGCAATTGCCTCCTCAACCTCGAGTAGAACCCCTAACGAGCCCTTTGTCGAGATGGAGCTAACGCTTCAAACAACAAAGACAAAGATCCCCCGTACAGCTTTAGCAGACTTGAGGCAAGTGCTGTCGGCGAGCACCTATGAAGGCCGGCACGGCACACGAGGGGGTGGGTGGCGAGCACCACGCCCGGCCGCCTTTGTCTCCCCAGTGGCGATGAGGCCGAGTCGACGTAGAGGAGGCCCAGGACCGGTCCAGATAATCGTCACTGGTGTGGGCCGTGAGCGAGAATTGAACTCGGGTCGCCGGATTTGTAGCGCAGCGTAGCGCTCACCGCTGGACTACCGCTCCCCATGCTTCAGATATTAGCGGGGCAGCTCCAATTAATTAACTAACCAATTAAATAAATAATCAGTTACTTAATTCTAGAGCGTGTGCAGCCAAGGCACAGATGGCTAAGGCGCCGAGACGCTCCCTTGATTGGGCAGAATGAGCCGAGGCTGTGTGTGTACCGCATGCCCTATCTGCCGTGTTCACGCGCTCAAGTGCTGTGTTCATTGAGCAGCGAACGTCCATACGCGGTCACTCGCACGTGTTTACCAGGTGCGACCCAGTAACTCAAGGAACGTTGGGGGCCCACGTTGCTGCAACGTTGGCCACCAATGATTCCAAACCACATGCCAATGTTGGCGCAACGTTGGCATGTTTACTGGGTAGTACCACGGACTTGTTTCATTACAGTTACCAGGAGCCGCCTTCCCCAAACCTATTTCCTCTGAAACGTACAATAATGACACGTTCTTTCATCAACTTGAACAGGTGCAAGTATTCTTTTCTCTCTCCCATTTTCGCTCTCGTGGGCCTTGGCACCACCTGCCCCCTAATCACCAGGACCCACAATCACCAGGACCCACAATCACCCCAACAACCAGCCGCTAGTGGTACAGGTTAGCAGGACAGCTCCAGACATAGATACATGAGTAGGGCAAGCAGGTACAGGTAGCTTCAGGCCCAGGTAGCTCCAGCCACAGGTAGCTCCAGGCCCAGGTAGCTCCAGCCACAGGTAGCTTCAGGCCCAGGTAGCTCCAGCCATAGGTAGCTCCAGCCACAGGTAGCTTCAGGCCACAAGTAGCTCCAGCCACAGGTAGCTCCAGCCACAGGTAGCTCCAGCCATAGGTAGCTCCAACCACAGGTAGCTTCAGGCCCAGGTAGCTTCAGGCCCAGGTAGCTCCAGCCACAGGTGCACCTGTACATGAGTTGTGTGCGCACACGTGAACAAGCGACTCCACTACATGCCGCACGCGTGTATGTAGGTTGAACTTCTTTTGCACCGTACGTAGCCGTGCCGCTGCTCTGGGCTTATCATCTGATCCTCTTCCTCCTCCTCAGTTTGATATTTGTCCAAAACCTCGACAGCGAAAGGGGGGGGGGGGGGTCGGGGGGCGGTCGTGGGGGGGGGGGGTCCTGGGGGTGCGGGGGGGGGGGTGCGGGGGGAGCCGGCAACTCACGAGACGAACTCCGAGTGCCTCCGCGAGCCGCCGGCCCCGCCCGCCGGCTCGGCGCTCCGGGCCGCCCGCACCGACCCCCCCTTGCGCACGACGCTCGCCCGGGGGGGGGCCCCCCCGGCGGCGGGGCCGCGGGACCCCGACGCCCGACGCGACGCGCGGCGCGTCGGGCGGGAGGGGAAGGCGGCCGACGCCGGCTCCCCCGCCGCGGCGGGCGCGGGGAGCGCCGGGAGTGCCCCGTCCGCGGACGCCGGAGGAGCCGGGGGGCCACCGCTCGCCACCGTCGCCGCCTCCGACGACCGCGCGCCGTGGGCGGACGGCGCCTCCTGCGGCCGATCCGGTGGTTTGTCAAGCTCGGGGAATCGCTGCTGCGGCGGCTGCCGCTGCTGCCGCTGCCGCTGCTGGTGCTGCTGTTGCTGCTGGTGCTGCTGTTGCTGCTGTTGCGAGGAGGGCTGCTGCTGCTGCTGCTGGTGCAGCTGTTGGCGCAGCTGCTGTTGGCGGGCGTGCGCGTGCGCTTCCTCCCGCAGCAGCACGTGCACCAGCACCGCCTTCTCGCGCTTCATCTGCAGCGCGAGTGCGGGCGGCACGTCCGGGATGAGCCAGTCGACGAAGTCGCTCAGGAACATCACCAGGTTCTGCTCGCCGCACGACGCGCGGTGCAACACGGCGACGAATTCTAAAGCGGCGCGATTTCATCCGTAGATCCCCACCGATGCGCCACCGTGTGTGGAAAGCACGGAAATAAACAGAACCCTGCAGGGACGACGGGCAGAACTGGCCGGCGCGGGGAGGGAGGGGGCTTAGTGGCACATTTAGAGAGGCGAGAGAAGACGGGGCTGAGGTAGCGCCAAGGCAAAGCGTTGTTCCGTAGTCCGATTAGAACCGCGAACGTCTTCAACAAGCGGCGAATGAATCTCCGTCGGGACGCGTCGCTGTCCTGAATGTGTGCGTGCACGGAGACGCGCACCCACACACTGGCGCGCACGGGGACACGCGCACCCACACACTCGCACCCACACACTGGCGCGCACGGGGACACGCGCACCCACACACTCGCACCCACACACTCGCACCCACACACTCGCACCCACACACTCGCACCCACACACTCGCACCCACACACTGGCGCGCACGGGGACACGCGCACCCACACACGCGCACCCACACACTCGCACCCACACACTCGCACCCACACACTCGCGCGCACGGGGACACGCGCACCCACACACGCGCACCCATACACTCGCACCCACACACTCGCACCCACACACTCGCGTCCACTGGGACATTCGCGCGCGCTACCTGGAACAGGATGACGAACCCGAGGCGCGCGGCGAGGAGCGCCCAGTACTGGCGCGAGTACTCGTAGGCGTTCGGTGACCAGGGCGGCTCGCGGTAGTCCTTGTACCTGTGGGGAGGTAGACGCACGGTGAACTCGTGCGGCCGGTGCGGCCTCGACTCTTGACTGACGCAGGCCTTAACGCTGTCCCCAGACACGTGGCCAGACAGTGAGGGTTCGCCTCCAGCGAGAGGGGGCGCCCCCTTAACGCTGCAGATTTGTGGTGAAAGTTCGCTCTGCGGGTAGTCCTCGTTTAACGCGGGAGATGCGTTCGCGAAAAGTGCCGCATCACGCGAAAAGCGCGTAGGACAAAAGCAATTTCGCCACGAATAATGTAATGACGATCACGTCTGGCGAGGTCACGATGTTACCGTACGAGGGCACGCGTAGTGAGATGGCGGGTCAAGTGAGGGTACGCCGCCGCGTCGCTGTGTCATTCCGCGTTCTGTATCACTGTACCGCTCGGCCGCGCAGCTCGAGAAAGTAGTTCGTCGTCGACCGCTCAAAAACCGCGTTATAACGGGGCGTGTTCCACGTTCTAGCGATCCGTGTTCCACATTACAGCGGCGCGTGCTCTGCGTTATAATGGTGCACGTTCTGCGTTCCAGCGATCCGTGTACCGCGTGCTAGCGGAGACGCGTGGTGCTCCCACCGCGCGCGTTCAGCGAGCTCGCACCGCACACGGAGACGCTGCCGTCATCTGGCACGCAATGCCGTCAACGACGCCGTTCCGGACGAGGGGAGTTTGTCCGTGAATTGTCTCCCCCGGACGCCTTGCGGTAGCAGCGGCCATGGTGGCCTCTCGCAGGCCACGTGACGGTCCGGCCACGTGTGCGGTGGGGGGCAAAGTGCGGGCAACTTCCACCGCTCCCGAGACATCGCGACCCTCGAGCGGTGCCCTCCGGCCCAGAAGCTCCGCTCCACGGCGGCAGCGGCACGAGCGAGCGAGCGAGCGACGCCGGGGCCCGCGAACCGCTCCCGCCCCGCTCGCTCAACCGACCGGCAGACGAGGTCGGGCGGCGCCCCGGGGGCGTCGTCGGGCGGCCGGAGTCCCTCGGGGAAGTGCGTGGTGTTGAAGACGGAGAGCGAGTTCTCGACGAAGCCCCGCAGCGAGCCGTCGGCGCTGTAGGCAAAGCGGTAGACGAGGCGCGGCACGAAGTCCGACGTCATGGCGATCACGAACGCCTGGGGGGGGGACGGCGACCGTGAGATCCCGGCCGTCGGCCCCCGCCCCTAGGTCGACTCAGCCTCGAACGAGGAGTGCCTTGCCCGGGGCTGGCGGCGCTGCGTCAATATTGGTCACGAGGGAGACAAAAGTTGGGCCGGGAGGGGTGCCGGCCACTCACACACCCACCCACCCTCCCTCTGCATGTTGAACTTCTTTCGCACCGTACGTGCAGTGTCCACGTTTGTCTCGGATTGTTTGGGTTACGTCTTTGGCTTTGTTTTGTTCGGGTTTTAGCTTCGCTGGAGTAACAAGGTCGATATGGTTTAACCAGGGTCACGCATCCTGAATGAGCATGCATTGTGTGTGTGTGTATGTGTGTGTATATGTTGAACGTCTTAGCACCTCCGATTAGCACGGTTGGCTACGTACGGTGCGAAAGAAGTTCAGCCTACGTGTATATATTTTTTATCATTTTACCTGGTAAAATACCTGGTAAGATAAAAAAACTTATTTTGTTGAATTGTTTACATTTCCTATATTTCACATTCCTTTCGAATGTTTTTGTATTGCATTTGTTGTTGTAACGTTCTGACCCCGTGCCCCTCCTAGACATCTGTAAACAAAACAAAAAGAGCTTCATAGCTCATCGGATTCCTCCAGCTCCGGTCTAAATAATCATTCCGATTCTGAGGCTCGTGCCCGCTCGCTCCACGGTCCCCTGCACAACCGATTGATCCGCTGCTCGTGCTGCAGCGGCATCTCGGGGCTGCGCCGGGCAGGGGGCTCGTCGGGGATTCCTCCGGCGTAAATGAACATTCCGATTCCGAAGCTCTTTACCCCACAGATGCCTCGCCCGATATTCCGAGTGACGCCAAAAGCTCGAGGCCATCGACTCACGTTGATGATCACGGCGAGTTTCCCCAGCCCGCGCAGAAGGTTGTACCAGATGCCTGCATCGCGCGCGCACACACACACACGTGGGGGACACGTGGGGGGACACGTGGGGGGACACGTGGGGGGACACGTGGGGGACACGTGGGGGACACGTGGGGGGACACGTGGGGGGACACGTGGGGGACACGTGGGGGACACGTGGGGGGACACGTGGGGGACACGTGGGGGTGTCAGTGCTGGCGTGGTGGGGGGGGGGGGTGTACGGGAGAGAGGGGTTGGGGCGAGGCACGCGGGCGACACCCCGGCATGGCGGAGTCACGGACTTGGCTCGCTGTGCTGTGCCCCGCTGTGCTGTGTCCCGCTGTGCTGTGTCCTGCTGTGCTGTGCCCCGCTGTGCTGTGTCCCGCTGTGCTGTGTCCTGCTGTGCTGTGCCCCGCTGTGCTGTGTCCCGCTGTGCTGTGTCCTGCTGTGCTGTGCCCCGCTGTGCTGTGTCCCGCTGTGCTGTGTCCCGCTGTGCTGTGTCCCGCTGTGCTGTGTCCCGCTGTGCTGTGTCCCGCTGTGCTGTGTCCCGCTGTGCTGTGTCCCGCTGTGCTGTGTCCCGCTGTGCTGTGCCCCGCTGTGCTGTGTCTCGGTGAGCTGTGTCCCGCTGTGCTGTGTCCCGCTGTGGTGGCATCCCCCCGGGTGTTGGGGGCGGCCGCACCGATGTCCTTGGCGCGGTGAGCGTCTGGCCTCCGCAGCTCGGTGATGAACTTCTTAGCGTCGAGGCGGATCTCGATGACGTTGTTGAGCAGCGCGAAGAGCGGCGCCAGTGGGAAGGACGCCACGAACAGGGTCACGAAGCCGAACTGGATGACTTGGGGTGGCACGTGCACAAAGGCAAACAATCAACAAAAGGTCCTAACCCCCCCCCCCCCCCCCCCCCGTACGTAGTGCTCACTGACGGACGTGGCGAGTGCAAATATAAAGTAAACTATTTTTATTTTTTATCTTACCCGGTAAAACACACTGAGCTATATAGTTGCTCTTTTTTGCACAAGCGACCTGGCCACAAATGAATGCTCAACCAAGTGGCTGATCATCATCACGCGGAATGTATAGCAGCCAAATACTCGAAACGCGTGATGCTGATTTTAAATGTGGAGGGAAAAACCGGAGGACCTGGAGTTTTCTTCTCAACACTGCCTGCATGCATCATCGTTATCATCATCATCATGTCTCCTTCGAGTGTGCAACCTTTTTCTTAATTCCACGCCCGGTCCCTCTTTGGGTCCAGCTTAGAGGCAGTAACCCCACGAATCATCGTTCAGCATTTAGACAGCAGCTGGGGGGGGGGGGGGCTGGTCATTCGAGACGCGTGTCCACGTACTCATCTCCATGTACTCGGGAGTGAGTCCCGAGAAGGGTTCCAGCTCCTGATCTCTCTCCCAGCGCGGCCGCGGTCTCCCCGACGTGGAAGCGGCGCGCCTCCCCGCCTGCTCGCCGCTCGACTTGTGGCTCTCTTCCTTGGCCTTCATGCTGCGGAGCAACTTCTTGATCTTCCTGCGACGCGAAGCACGGACGCACGCACGCGGGTGACGACGCCACCGCACAACCACGCTCGCGATCGCACAACCACGCTCGCACAACCACGCTCGCCACCGCACAACCACGCTCGCACAACCACGCTCGCACAACCACGCTCGCACAACCACGCTCGCACAACCACGCTCGCACAACCACGCTCGCCACCGCACAACCACGCTCGCACAACCACGCTCGCCACCGCACAACCACGCTCACACAACCACGCTCGCACAACCACGCTCGCACAACCACGCTCGCACAACCACGCTCGCCACCGCACAACCACGCTCGCACAACCACGCCCGCGATCGCGGGGCGCCGGGACGGGGAGAGCGCGCGGGGGAGTGGGGGAGAGTGCCGGGTGCGGGGAGAGCGTGGGGAGAGTGCGGTGGGGACGCGTGGGGTGGGAGAGCGAGCGGTGGTGGAGGCGCTGCTCACGGCACGCCGACTTCGAAGAGGTTATTCTGCAGCAGCTGCTTGCCCAGCATGATGATGCTCAGCTGGATGCACAGCTCCATCAGGCACCCTCCCGGCGCGCACTTCGCCACGTGGGGGGTGGGGGTCGTGGGCGAGGGGAGTGGGGGAGGTGAGGGTGGGGGGGAGACAAGGCGGGGGATGGGGGGGGGCGAGGAGTGGGGCGGTGAGGGTTGGGTGGGGGGTGAGAGACACGGGGTGGGGGGCAGGTGAGCGGGTTGTGGTGCGAGGTGCGGCAAGGCAGGTGGAGGTGAGCGGTTGGAGCGAGCGAGCGAGCGAGAGAGAGGCTGGGGACACGGCGAGGGTTGCCAGGGGCCTTGAAACCCTGCCGGGCCGTCTCCTCGTCTGACGAGGAGTTGGAATGACGACGCGTCGCTCACCTCCTCCATGCGGAAATAGTGGAAGGTGTAGAGGTAATCTCCGGGCCTTCCCATGAACCTACACGCGGAGGGAGACAGAGAGAGAGAGACAGAGACAGAGGTTCATCATGGACAGGGCCATTGACGGACATGTTGATTGCCGGCCATCGCAGGTGCTGCTACTCGCAAACAGCACTTGCCCCAACAGTCTGTTAAGGCTATACGGGAATCTGTCGTGTGTGTGTGTGTGAGTTGAGCGATTCGTATTTGCAATATAAAAAAAATGTGAGAAAGTCAAAACGTTCGTCAATAACACCGTGGTCTTAATTTTTGTATGAATATATAATAGGCGACGTTTCGGGCAATGGTCCTTATTGACGGAACAAGTAGAGGGGTCACTGGACAGGTCGTGACCTCTCACACAAGGGCCTCCCCGAGCCGTTGCCACCTTGCTGACATCTCTCGGGAAGAGTTTTTGTTTTAGTGCTCACAACAGAATCGACATTACCATGGGGGGGGGGGGGGTAGGAGAGTCGGGGGGGGTGGAAGAGTGTGGGGGGGGTAAAAGTGGTGAGAGAGTGGGGGATGGAAGGGTGGGGGGGGGGGTCAGAGTGGGAGGGGGGGCGAGAGCGGGGGGGAAGAGTGGGGGGATGTTGGTAGAAGAGTGGGGGGGGGGGGGAGAGTGGTGGGGGGAAGAGTGTGGGGGGGGGGTGACTCGCACCGGCCCTTGAAGAAGGCGACGTAGAAGATGGGCGTGTACGAGTTGACGAACTTGAGGAGGAAGAGTTTGAAGATGAGCCGCTCCTCGAACGTTCGGTCCGTGCGCGGGACCTCTGCACGCAGCGGAGTGGCAACGTTCGG